TGGAGGAGAAGAGAGAGACATAAACATTAGTTTAATCGTCCTGCCTTGATTTGACAGTGAGATCTAATTTATCCTGCTAAATGAAGAGTTTAGGGATACTTTTTTCAGTTTCTATTTTGTGGCTGGAACTGCCCCCCAGAAAGTGGTCACAAGATTCCTCTTTATTTCTCCTTATTCCTTTAAAGATAAATGATCCAAACAACAAAGTCCAAACCGAAAATCTATCCACCCCTGCCGTGTCTTCAGCAGATCCATGGTAGGATTCTGGGCAGACTCAGTAGCAGTAACAGTGTAAGTGGAAGGAGAACAGGATGACCTTGTGAAGCCTGCTTTACTGTTTCTTCTTCATGGGTTAGGCCTGGTCCAGATCCCACTTAAACAAACAAACCAAACCAAACCAAACCAAAACAAACATAAACTCCCTGTTGTCTGAGTCTTGTTTTTTTCCCCTCTGAAATGCAGAGAGCCTAATTTCTAAAGGTTGTATGCCTGAAAACCTGTCAGCCTACCATTAACATTCAGTGGTTAACGTTGCCATCTCCTTCCAGTCTAATTTGAGAGACGGAGACAGAGACAGACATACATACATGGTGACAGTCTTCCTACTGGTTTCCCCTTAGTTAAAAACAACAAAAAGCTCCTAAAAATGTTGGAAGTGTTGTATGTTTTCTTTTTGAGGGAGATGAAAATAAGGAAGTAGTTGGGATCGTGCTACAGTTTGCCTGGAGAAAAATCTTGATGGGAGGCTGTGAGTGGTGGATAGCAGCATGTACAGGAGAGTAGACAGGCTGTACCCTGTTGGATGGAGTGCAGCTGGGGGGGAGGGGGAGGAGGAGGCTCAACAGAGTGGGCCCAACAGCAGAGAGGAAAATGCTGCTGGGGGATGTAAAGGCGCATGGCCCCGGTCCACGTGGCTCATGATTCATGACCTTGTGAGGTACTCTTCTCATTACTCCTCTTATCTTGACTCTTCCTCTTCCTTATTGCCTGGCAATGGGAATGGTACAAAAAGAGCATATCCCACATGTGCTCAGGGCATCTCTGGGGAGAAAGGAAATGCTTCCTTACAGGCATTTTAAATATGGTCATTTTATAGTGCTTTGAATATAGTAGGGGGCATCTGTCTAGCAGAACCATACTGCTTTCTGTCTTTGGTTATAAAAGCACTAGAGGACAGGCAGCACAAAATAACTTTTGGATCTTTCCAGATGCTTTCCCTAGAGCTTTAGGCTCTGGAGGCACCAACCTGCTTTCCAAGTGATTGCAGATCACAGATCTATCTACCAAATGTTTTCATACAGCATAAAAAGGGTCAGTTGATTTCCAGACTCCAGTTTCACTTCTCATTGGCTGATCACCAACCCACATTTTAAGTATTTGCTATGGCAGTTCCCCACTCCTACTGGTTTCTGCGTTAATTGGGGCTTGGGTTAGAACGTGGTAACAGAGACCCCTGTTTACACCATACAGCAGTGGTGTAAATAAAACAAATTAAGTTTTCTTTCATGTAGTATTTCTGGAAGTAAGAGATTCAGGCTGATGGGTCATCGTTGCTCCCTGTGGTTGTTTATGGGCTCACGTTCCTTCTATCTTGTTTCTCTGTCCATCATGAGATTGTGGTTCTCATCTGCAACACTGAATCTGGGTTGCTGATGTGTCTATGTTCCTGGGAAAGAGGGAACGTAATTTAGCTCAGGGTGAATCCCTTCCTGTTAGGTGATGTCAAATTTGCCTGGGCACTTTTGGTCGTACTCTATTGCCATGGTTAGCTATAAAGAAGGTTGAGAAATAAAGTCGGTAGTTAAGAAGTTAGGGCCACAGTAAACTTTGGATGTAAAAGAGAGTATGGATTTTATCCTGTGTCCATGTTTCTAAGGGTTATGTGCCTGGTGCACCTGTGAAGTTCTTTACATTGCATATTCTGGATTTGAGTACTTATCGGTGGATAAAAATCACATGTGTTTTCTTTCAGTCTGTGATGTACTTTTTCATTTTGTTCATGGTGTCTTGTCACATAGAAGTTTAATATTTTAATATAGTAAAGTTTGCAAATCTTTTTTATAATCCTTTGCTACAAATGTATTTTATATTTGTAGATTGGATTCTAGGTACTCTGTAATAATTTCGTGGCTGGGGGTAGACCAGGTAGGGATCCTGGCCCACAAACACTGATTTATGGTCAGCTTTTCAATTTCAGTTTAAGAAAGAACAATGTTATTTTATTTTTAAGTAATTTCTGAGTCCAGCATGGGACTCAAACTCACAACGCTAAGACCAAGAGTTGCGCGCTCCACCGACTGAGCCAGCCAGACGCCCCAGAACAATGTTATTTTGAATAGGAGAACCCAGCCTGCCTGTTCGATGCTTTATTTCATCATTCACTTTATGATTTGACAAGACTTACAATTATTTGTAGTTTTTGTAACTGAACAGTTAATAGTTCTCAAAATTAATTGTCAAAATACTTCCCTAAAATTCATTATGGATTGAGAAGGTTTTGATAGTCACAAAGGAATGTCAGATGGAAGAGAGATGAGATCAAATGTGGTGTGGAATTTAGTGTTCAAGTTGCTCCAGCTGTCCCGAGTGCAGTCTTTTTTTTTTTTTTTTTTTTATTTTTTTTTAATGTTTTATTTATTTCTATGAGAGAGAGAGAGACAGCATGAGCAGGGGAGGGTCAGAGAGAGAGGGAGTCACAGATTCTGAAATAAGTGAGCTAGGAAGCAGAACCTCTTTCCATCACACACCTTCAGGAAACTGTAGCCCTGGGCTACACCTTTGAGCACCTTTGAGTGCAGTCTTTTTTTTTTTTTTTTTTTTTTGGTAACATTTTTATAA